CCACTCGACCACCGAGCTTGCCGGGATCGGCTGGCCGGTCCGAGTCAAAAGGAGCAGCGGGTACTGCGAACTATTTTCAAGATGTTTTTTTGTTGTCGTCAATGTTTTCAGATCACAGCTGCCGTTTGTAAAATTAAGAAATTCTGAAAGTTGTTTTTCAAGGAATAATTTTGGCATTTCTAGGACATGAAAGTGTCGGGGAAAAAAACCTGAAGCTGCATTTTACACGAGAAAAATAACCCCTTAGTTTCATTATAAATCATGTCACACATTTGCAAGGAAAATGGCTCTTGACACTGCCAGTTTTCAGTAACTTCTTGATATGTGGTTTTTGTTCAAGGCAGTCAAGCTTGGTCTCATTTTGAAGCTCAGGTTTGCTTCTTTGAGATATGCTACAGTTGATGGAGCAGATGCTCTCCAATAATTTTAAAAGGCAGTTTCAAAGGTGATCTTGCCCTTAACCGTAACAGTAAATAATTCTAAAAATTCAATACTTAGTGGTAAAATGTAGTATACAGCCCTGTTGCTTGTAAGAGTATATGACCTTATTGTTTTCTGATCAATTATTTAATATTCGAGTATTATTTTCCTGAATTTGAACTTTCGAATGCAAAATTCATGCAAAGGGAGGGAAAATTTTCTTCGTTTAAAATGAGAAAAATTGCAGTATGGAGGTTTGTTTCAAGCAAATTCAAATGAAAAGTGACAGAAATCATACAACGATTCAAAAAGTAAATAATTCTTTGAAAATTTTAAAAGGAATAGAAAGTGTCAACAGGACAAGAAGTATCGTTTGTCTCTTAAGTCTTGCTAAATCGTGGCTGGAGATCCTCCTAGACCTGAGGAGCTATTATGGTGGTTATAATGTAATATTGTGTGCGTTGTTGCAACTGATTTTGTATACAGTTTGTTCATCGACCTTATATTTGGATATTTGATTGAATTGAAGGTCGAATATTCTAATAGTGAAATAATCGAATTGACTCAGCCCTAATGTCGCAATCTCTATTATGGGACTTTCAGAAACCGCCATAAACAAACCAGCCCAAACAATAACGTAATGGACAAACTGGTCCCTGATGGCAAGACACATAACCGAACATAATAACTGTTACACAATTGTACTGGAATCATTGAAAACAATAAATATATGAAGGACATTTTAAATGTTTTTTGGGCGTGTAAATTCTAGCCCAGTAGGCCTGAATTTTATTTTCTTGGTTGGGTGCACTGAGCTTGAATCCATTTCCACTCTACAATTTTATTCCTGTTGCCCAGAAGAAAATTACATTGAGTGCTCCTGAATGTGTGAAATAATTTACCTTGAAATGGCTAATCATTTTAATTACGGGTCTTGTCTATAGTTAACCATGTTGTGAAATTTGAAGATGAACAGTCTTCAAGTAAAAAAGTCTAAAATGCAGTTCAGCGCACACAGTCACTTTCCATCCTGCGCTGTTTCCCATCGAGGGTGCAGCCACATATTGCGAGTCAGTACGGAATGGAACCAACAAAGTCAAATTTAGCTATAGCACAGCACCCATCATGTGCTAGATCCTTTGCATATGTACGGCTTCGACACGTGCCTGTGAAAAGCTCAGTCACAAATGGATGTTCTAGAAAAATGGGTAGTACAAGCATGAAGCTTAGAGGGCAGTAACATGAAAAGAGCTATCGATCACAAGATTTAAGACATTAAAACTGAGCTGAAAGTCACCAGTTTAGCTGTCAGTGGTCTGTCAACATTATTCTCGACCATTTGTCAATTTGTGGAACATGAAAAACGACTGGAAGAAAGACCAGACTCGCAATTGAGTACTTGGAACTACCCCTCTAGGCCATCACTGCACACTGTGTATGGCTAGTAATATGGCAGTGTAAACCTCACAATTTTGTGGCTCGGTGAAAGTTGTCGTCTGCAGGGTTTCCCCTTAGCGGTCGCCTGCTAGCCAAATGCGAGTGAAAACAGTCACGGGCGAGTCAAAACACTTCCCTCAGTCGTGCGACGGGGGAAATGTTAAAATATGTACATGTTCCTTTTTTTTCTGATGTGATTGAAGAAAATATAGAACAAAGTCTTGATTTCAGAGCTTTACCTTTTGTGTGTCATGAATGTAACTTTATTTTATTGGAATCAAATAAACCCCAACATCGCTTCTGACTGGCACCTGGAATCCTGTATTGTGTGCTGGGACTACTTGCACATTGTACCTAGTACCTATCATCAACCACGATAGTTTCTCCAGTAGTCAGTGACCTCTATACATGACCAATATAATTAACATACGATTCGTACTGGGAACCAGATACCAAAAACCGATGCTGCGTCCATAGACTGGTTCAATCCGGTTTGCAAGTGACTTTTTTGTAACATTGATCTCATGCCCCTCATTGGACAATCATGCCAGGTGAGTGAGTAGGGAAGGGGAACCAGTCTACCCACAAACCACTATCGCTCTACATGATAGCGGTTGATAGAAACATCTTGGTGGACCAACCTTCTTAAGTCAAAAACCTGCTTTAATTGTTTTTTTTTCCACACATTTCATGGACTAGTAAAAATCTCTGCGGGCTAGTAAAAATCAATGTACTAGCCCGGTTGGCTACTGTCAGAAAAAATAAAGGGCAAGCCCTGCTTATGTGAAGTCCGCTTGAAAATGTGTCACAGCCAGGAAGAACATGTATACTTTTGTTCAAAAATTTGTAGGAATACACATATTTTGGGACAGTATCTCCTATTACTCATTCGGCTGGGATATGAATATGAGTAGTACATGTATGACGTGTGAGCCTGCTTTTTTGTGTAGGTGCAGTTATTTTGTGTATGTAAGTTTTAAGTCTATTGTTACGAGAATCTTTTGCACATGAATTAGTTTTCTACCATAAATCGACCCAATCCTTGTCATCATGAGGACAAATCCAGTAGAATTAAATGAATTAAAAAATTCACTAATTCATCTCTGCGTCCTTAATAAATTGTTAATTGTCATTAACAACTTATCATTAAGATTTACGATGAGACTGTAATTGCATAAATGGCAGGGCGTAAGGATATTCTTTCATGTGACGTTGCTATGTAGAAATGAAGAACCAATTATTTTCCAGCATGTACTTT